GATCTTTGCCAGCTCATGTCGACAGAACCATGGCTGATTACATAACCAATGTAGCACAGAAGCCAGCTCTAGGATTCACGGCAGTCACCACAATATCAGCAAGTGAAGCAATTTCCAGTCTTTGAGCTTTGTGCTCCTAAAAGCCCACTCAGCATTCACAGAATCAGTAGAGCTGATGAGCTATCTCTCTCCAACTATACCTTAGTTCAGTGGACTGGTGTATGTAGTGGAACTCTTTACTACGCCGGTCGGATTGGTCGGTGTGGTTTCACCTGCAAGCCTGGAACGGTCTAGAACCGCACCGATCCCAGCCGGGTTCAGCCATCGTGAGCGGCAGCCGAGAGACCAGGCCGGGCTTACCCACAGGCCCGAGGCCCGGGGAGACCGCGCCGAGCCCACCCACAGGCCCGGGGGCGACCCCTCAGACTCACCTGCAGTCCGGGCGCGGCCGGGTCGATGGCGCTGTCGAAGATGGCGATGGTGACGCCCCTGCCGTCCAGCTCCGGGTACAGCTGGTGCAGGCTGCTGACGCCCGTCTCCCGCTTGGGTACCAGACCCGCCACAGGGAACTCGGCGGCCACAATCGGCTCCGGGTGCATCGTGGTCGCGGACAGAGACTGCCTGCGGATGGCGACGGTGGTGGGGTGAAGGACAGTCAGCAGATGGCTGCTGGCATTGTGCACAACATAAAATAAATGTCAGATGCTAGTCAGTCAAAACAATAATAATATCAACAAATGTATATCATACTTTGTACTTTGGGAAGTACCATTCTTTAACTATGAGCAAGCACTTTTGCTTTGTGCAAAGCCAGTCTTTTCAACAAAACTGAAAAACATCAGAATGAGCGGCATGACCTCCTGTAACACTTTTTACTTGATCATGTCTCAGCAACCACTGAGTCGATTGACCTGGGGTCCTTTTTATTAGGTAGAGCCATCCCTTCCACCTTGAAATAGAGTACTCTTGATGCATTTAGGCAATTGTTGTGGCATGGGCCACTTGATTTCTGCTATAATTTGGATGGAACACATCACTTAAACAGGATTAACGGAAATTTCTAAGCATGAGGTGTGGTTGTGGATGCTTTTGAGAGGCTTATATCTCAGCAACCACTTGACAGATTTACTTGTGGCAATTTTTGTAGGATAGCTTTGTTTCTTCTACCAAGTACCTATTGGACTATTCCCGATGCATGTATTGTGGGTGACCCCTTATACATGTGCCATGTGCAAAATGAGGAGGTGTCAGTTTTTGTAACAATTGCAATATCTCGGTAACTAATGGGTCGATTGTGCTGAAACTTGGCATGTAGGTAAGCACCCACTAGGCAATGCATTTGCATGTGCCAAAGTAGGGGTGCCAGATCTCGAGAACGGCTGGACAGATTGCGCTCAAATTTGATACGCCATTAGGGACCTGTTGGTAAGGTGCAGTGCAAAAGTCAGTTGGGATCCATTTCACATGTTCACACGTGCAGACCGCAGGGTGCCGCTTCAAGATCTCGAGAACGGCTGGGCCGATTGTGTTTAAATTTGGCACATTGCTAGGGACCGGTTAGTAGGGTGCTGTGCACAAGTCAGTTGGAGGTACCCCCTCACAATTTTGCATGTGCAAGGCCCACCCTCTCGCTCACTCCCTTAGTCGCCCCAAAAGGCGTTATCAGTCGGGGAAACTATGGTAAAATCTGCTATTTTTAGCAGTCTGCTATTTTTAGCAGAAATCTGCTAAAAATGGGTACGCATGTGACGTCATCGTACCCAAATATAGCAGATTTGGGTACGGCCCCATACAAAAGCAGATCTGCACCCTAATTGAAGCAAATGCGCATCAAATGCCTGGCAGATTCATGAGGGCTGTTCACGGACCCTGTGTGCGGTCGGACCGCACACAGCCTCGGAGCTCCGCCCACTTCGTCCCTACGTCAGCCTTCCGTCACCGCACACAGCGATCGCTGTGGCCGGTCGGGACTGGCCACAGCGGACCGTCCACCGCACGCAGCCGTGACGTCAGAACCGCCTACCCATCCCCTACCCCCACGCCTGCTGGACGCACCGCACACACCGCACGCAGCAGTGTGCGGTGCCCGTGAACACCCCTATGATTAGAACAGTGCTGAGAATGTCCTCTGATATTTTTGTTCAAATCCGACTATTTTCAAATAATGAATTTGAAAATAGTCGGATCTGAACAAAAATAGCAGAGATCACTCTCAGCACTATTCTCATCATGAATCTGCCAGGCATTTGATGCGCATTTGCTTCAATTAGGGTGCAGATCTGCTTTTGAATGGGGCCGTACCCAAATCTGCTATATTTGGGTACGATGACGTCACATGCGTACCCATTTTTAGCAGATTTCTGCTAAAAATAGCAGACTGCTAAAAATAGCAGATTTTACCATAGTTTCCCCGACTGTTATACCAATACTGGTGATAATTTGGTGATAATGCTCAAAGAGTCGGAGTGAGCCCATTACCCCCTGAAACTAGCACCTTTTAAGTTTGAGATGAAAAAACAACTAAACTCACCTAATACCAATGCTTCCAAATTTATGAAGGGATTCTGAACTAAGACTCCTCAAGCCGAAGTTTGAGCTCGATAGTTTCGAGGTCGTGTGATAAAATGCTGAACGGGCAGGACCTAGAAGATTACAAGATAACGGCAAAATACAAAAATATCCACAAACAACCCGAATAGGCAGAATGCGCGAATTATGAGCCACCCGAGGACAAAGGCCCCCAAAACAACTCCGATAAACTTTTGTTTTGCCTCCCACACACCAACACTACTCTCTCCTCTCGCTAGGTGCCTCGTCAGCTGATAAAAGCCAAGGCCAAAGCCAAAAGCGCACAGTCGAAGTCAACCCCCTACAGGAAAAATGACGTCTAAGAATTGTGAGAGTTCATGGCAAGCAAACGGAGACACCTGCGGTGCGGTTATAAAGTAAGCTTGATTTTTATCTAAAAAGAAAAACATCAAACATGAATAATCCAAAGAGTTGTCATGATAGTCTTCTAAATTCAAAACAAAATTCTAGCATTATTTACAGATCCAGCTCAAAATCATCGCAGTTTGCTCCAATAGCAGCTCGCTTTTTGTGACGTCAGTTAGGATCAGAAATTTTGGAGAAGAATATGAAGTGGAAATAATCCGGTCATCCTCAATTTAGAAGTCGCCACTAAAACGAAGTGTATGTATCGGCATGTATAAAATGGAAATAGTAAAAGGCAGATTTGCGTTCCCCCATTAAACTTCAGCACCAGTTCACGGTATTCGGACACCAGTAGGTATAGGCTTTGCTTTGTGTATAGAGTCCAGCCCTTCAGTACAAGTATGAACAGCGGTTGATTACACTGGGCGCTTTCTTTCCAGTACTCTATCTTGTCTCTAGAGTCACCGTGGTCTCTAGCTTCTATCTCTCTCTTCTCTACCTTGTCTCTCCAGTCTCCAATTGTCCCCAAAGCGGAGACCACTGCACTGGCCTGGCTGTGACAGCCCGGAGCAAGGGGGAGGAGGGCAGCCGTAAAAATTGATGGATATGTTTTTCTTGCACTGCCACAAACACAAATGTTCAAAGCCACGGTCTACGCCCCCTCTCCCGGCTCAAGCCCGCCGGTAAACCAGACCACTCCATGGTTTAGAGAATTTAGCATCTCGGCTGGTCAAATATCGCTTTCTTTAGTACCTACCGACCTGTATGAATCCCGGGTTCGTGATCGATTTGTCCACCATCTCGCATTGGGTGTTGCTTTTCACTCGTATCCGGATTCTAGTCAGCAGATGCTGAATATGTCGACCCATTGAAGATGTGTTGACTTGTTTGTTGACAATCCGCCCGTGATGATAGTACCATTCGAAGCTCCGTCAGGCGTCAGCCATCATGTGCTGTCCTAATACCCGTGCCTGTGATGATTATGATTGTTTTTAGGGCCTTGATTGTAATGATTGCACACCGAGCGTTCAGTGTCCGTGCAACCACTGATGACTGGTGCCGGCTTTATCACCAGGCAAACGTGTAACGTGCCTAGACTGGCGGGATAATTCGTCGGCGGTCCCCACCGATCTCACGGTGCTCGAACCACCTACTCGAACCGTGGCTCCGTACATCATTTAGGACCGCATGTCCATGCAGACATTTTCCGAGCATACACATACACATGCCAACAGAGCCTCGCGGTTAGTGCTTCCAATGGTGGGCGGCCAGCTCCCCTATGACGCGGCGAAATTGAGCATTTTAGTAACAGCGACAAAAAAAGACTTGACAGCCGCACTCCGCTGAATTCGTGACTCACGGAAATAACTATCTGACACATGCCCTCAGTTTGAATTAAAAGACGACACGTTATGACATCAATAATACAGTTTATTTATTATTCATTACGCCTAGTGAAACAATCATTAGAGAAGTGAATTACCGATGGCAGCCCAAAAATCACTTTTCAACCATAAACAACAGAGCATGCCACCACTTCACAGTCCTGGACAAAAACTGTCATGATTACAAACACTACGGGCATATCTTTAACTGAAAACAAAAAGTGAGAATATACCAAGTGCACATCAAATCACAACAGAGGCTGCCGAGAGTCCATCAAAGATGGCCGCACGGATAGACTTGATCAGATTGAAACACCCACGCCACCACACGCCGCATGGAATGCCTCTCGCGAGTGCCTCCGCACAGCAGCACACCGTTCGGCGGTCCGCTCAGCCACAGCGCACCGCTGCACGACCGCCACCACCGCCCCGGCGCACGTCCGACCCGACCCACGCGGCCCGCGCCGCCGACCGGACCGCTAGCCGAGCCCGTGGTCATCAAAGAAGCCCTGAGGCGTCTCCTCCTGCAGGAACAGGTCAAAGGTCAGTGGCGTGGCAGGCGACTGCCCTCTCGCCACTTCTGGCTACTGGTGTTCTGCACGACCGCGTCCCGCCCCATCCCGCCCAGTGCCCCCCGAGATGAGGTTGTTCGCCCGAAAACAGCCAGCAAACAGCGAGAGACAAGGTAAACTGGACATGCTTTATTGCTCGCCACGATAGATCGAAGAAAATGGTACAAACTACGAAACGAAATTCTATGCTGAGACTTACACAGTAGCGTGGCATGCATTTTTGGCTCGTATGAAGACGGCACAGCTCGTTTGTAGACAGCCTGTTTCTACGCAGGTAAAGTCTCAACACCAAGTGTCACTTGTATAGCACCCTATCATGATAAATGCATGCTGATATACAGGTACTGCATAACAACATATTAGTACAGCTTGCAACCAGTAAATAAAACAGAGTCCATATCCGTGCGCTATATTCCAAGGAAAACAGGTAGTTAATATGAATACCATGCAATTAGAAGATACACTACATGTAGATATTGATGGCCAAAACAACTCAATAATGAACGTCCACACAGCGAAGAGCAGGCGCGACAGAGAGAAAAGCCGGCACTAGGCGAGACAGCAGCAGCGGCAGGGAATGTATTCGTGCGCAGTGCGGGAATAAGAACAGACGGGTTCGCCCGCGTATCAGCGTTCACAAAACGTGAAGACATTACACTGCGAAACACAGCCCCCGGCAGGAGCCTAAATAATGCCTAAGTCGTTCATTATATTGTCCGCCGCGTCCTCCTAGGAAACAACAAAACAGGTCAAACGATTCGGCATATTTAATTTTTAGTTCATGATCAAAATATGTGCCGAGCACAAAATTACTGCCCATCCACCAGAAGCCAGATAGGTGAAATAACTTTAGTTTGCCAAGAATACTTCAAAACCATCTTATTTCTTAGCATGTGTAGGCCACTTGACAAACAATATAGGCAACCGAAGTACCAAAACGTGATCAAGGCATATAAAAAGAAGCATTGTGCATTATGCGGGCTCCAAACCAAGTATCTTGACCACCGAAGTACAGAGACAGAAGGAAGTGTTTGCGCAGATTCACACAAATCTGCTCAAACGCCCCTTCCACACGTACCCAAGCTCCCCGTGTGCTAAGCAGGGTGTCCCGTGCGACCCGAGGGCCCCGTGCATGCAAGCGGTGGGGTCCGGCCGTGCGCGGGGCGGGGCGGACGGTGCGCGTGGCGACGGGGGCGGGCCGGCCGCGCCTCGGCCGCACTCACACGGTATATGGCGCACAAAGGCCGCCGGGTCCACGTGACTCCTCTGAGCGCGGCACACAGACACGGGGAGGGAGGGACGAGTGAGCCGCGGCCAGTCACGGGCGTGCACACTGCACAGAGCGCGCGCCGACCGGGCTCAGCGGGCCGCCGCGCCGCCCCGCGCCCGGTTCACCCGCACACCGGACACTACTCCACGGTCAGCCGAGCAACTACGCGACGCCGGGGACGTCCATCGACACGGAGCGGAACTACTCTAGCGGGCAAAAACTAGAAAGCAGAGGCGGCAATAACACCCGAGAGGTTCGCAGACATTTGGAGACGGTGGGACAACTGAATAACTAACGACTGTACTATTTTCCGATACAGCAAAAATAACGGAACACTGAATCACTTTATCAAATAGATCGCTGGTTATCCCAGGTCTGATCTATCTAGTTGAACTGCTAAGCAGTCTGTGACTTGCCATTTAAATGATAGTAAATGTTTTATTTAAGAAATCATGCTGAAATGCAGTAAATTTATCACGCATTTACCAATTTTAGAAAAGACTAACGTGACACATTCCACATGAAGGGAAAGTAAAAACGCATCCATCAATCGCCTCAGAGGCTACCGCTGACAGTAAGGAACTTCCGGTGATCCACATCGCTCAAGGAGGTACGCTATTCCCCGAACCACCTCCCTTCCGGCCCGCCCGCATGCGATCTGCCGAGCGGCAGCTGCAGGGCGCGGCAGCAGCACCGACACGGAGAGTAGAGCCAATCTGAGCAGCGCGCTGCGAGCGGACTCGCGGCGGAAACCGACAGAAACAGCCAGATACACAGTCGGGCAACACGCGGGCGAGCGGCGGCGAGTGCCGCCTCAGGCTAATAGAAAGAGAGGGAGAGAGATACATAACGAGCGAGCCAACGAGCGAGCGGAGAGAGCGAGATAGAGACAGAGAGCGGGCGAGCGATTGGCGCGGCGCGCAGCTCTAGTAACGACAGCCAACTGAGAATGCATATAGAGAGGGCTCGGTCTTACGCTGAGTGCGGTACCTAAGTCAGCCCGACAGATCGCAGGGCGTCCTCAAGGACCTCGTCCTAGAAACAGACGGGCAGCATGAGCGCCGCGCCGAGCGGGGCGGGGCGGGACGGGGCGGGGCGCGCTCCCGCGCGCCGGGGTCAGTCACAGGGGAGACAGCCAGTGCGCAGACGCAGGCGGCCAGCGAGCGATCACGTCACAGGTGAGGACGGCGCACAGTGTGCACGGACAAAAACAAAAACGAAACTAAAGTGAACTTATCGGTGAAAACTATGAAACTGAAATATGCCGCAGCATGGATGAAAGATGTATCTTTCATCCATGAGCACAGTATTACGGTCTGGTTTCGAGACGTTTTTTCTTAGCAGGCCTAAATAAAGACATTGTTAATGACAGTGAGTTCGCAGAAACTTGACTCCTGCAAATCCATCCAAATTTTGAGATTCTGAACAATAATCGCCTTTCCATCTAGCTATCTACTTTCGTGCATCTTGAACACCTAACAAAACATCACCCACAAACATTGAGCATGTCACTAACCCTGTTATAATTTTCAGCTACTTTGTGACTAAGCGACGCTTTACAAATCGAACCTCATGAGCTGCAGCAATCTTTGACCATCAGCGACAGGTCAACGGCGATGTCTTGTTCATCCTGCGATGACCCATATCTAACGAGCCCCGTCAGTTTTCCTATCCACCCGGCCTCCTGTGGGCTCTAGCTGTTCGGGTCACGGGTAGCCACTGACGGGTCTGATTCCATTGCCGCGTCTGGGCCCGCCCCTCCGTGCGCGGCAGAGGCGCGGACAGCACCACACAGACGGCGGCCCGTCCGCCGGCGGAACTCCCCACATGCCCCCGACAATGACCCGGCTCCGCGGGGACAGCTCAGCCGCCGCGATCCCGGTCGGCGATCCGCACCGGCAGCTGACACAGACGCGGGCCGGACCGGCGGGCCCCGAGCGGCGAACATGCAGGAAGCACCAGAAGCACAGCATGCCACAGAGATAACAGTTGGTGTCGAGCGTGCTCGGAGCTTAGACGGAACAGAAATTAGTTCCAAGATTTTATGGACGTTAACTGCTCACAAAGGATTTCTGTGAGTCAGTGCACAAAGAATAGTTTATAAACTTCAAAGACTGCAAAAAAACTTTTGTTCCCAGGGGAATGTCTCGCACAAACTTCAGATAAACGGAATGGTGTTGTGAAGTACAGCTAAATGCATTAATAAGTCCATTTTCTTTTGTGATACGGGCCCAATAAAATCAGCTACTGGTAGCGCTGGGGACCCGTGATCATATAAGTAGTGTTGATCGCATGGCTCAATAATCACATTTCTCACGACACCCAAAAATTCTAGCTACATACATGGTAACTACTACTACCAAACAAATCGAACATAACAATGCAGGCTGATAACTAGCAGCCAAAATAACCCCATACGTCACTCCTCCTCGTCCCAGTACGCTACCGACTCAGTAACTGCAGCACAAGCCTTGCAGTCGGACCGAGCCGCCCCGGCTCATCTCCCAACCATCGGACGGACGGACAGACACCACAGAGCGCTTCAGGCGACACTGACCAATCACATCGCAGCGACGGCACGCGACGACCAATCAGCGCAAAGCACGCCGCGAGCGGCGACCAATCGCTGACACGGCGGCGCTCATGCGGCGGCGGCGGCAGCAGCAAGCGCTACAGCTCATACGGATCAGCATCGTGACTGACCTCCTGGAGCAGGTCCTGTGCCGTGATGGCCTTCAGCACGTTCTTCTTGCTGGTCTCCTGGATCTCGCCGCCGAGCAGCAGCTCGTCCAGCATGAAGAACGCCTTCTCGAAGTTGAAGATAATGTCCAGCTCGCATACCTGTCGGAAGCGGATTCCGAAAGGAAGCAACAAGTAGTGATACGATACACCAGCTGTTCTCTTATCTATACAGCTGTGATTTTTATCGGGCGATGTCAATCGCGAATGTCTTCACATGCAATGACATGGCAGGTTTTTTTTGCATTCGAAACTCTGGGTAGCACCAAATTGACTGCTTTCTCTCGCTCATTGGCAATAGTCATCAACTTAAAATCAGATGGAATCGGCAAGCAAAAGGCATTGAAAAGTTGAAAATACATCATTTACGTAAAAAGACGATTCTCATCAGATACCACACGGGCGACAACCAAAGCTACACCGTCACTGTGCGGCGAGTGCGAGCGGAGCTGTGTCATACCGAGCCGAAGTACTTGTCGAGCAGCTCCACGTATCGGTGTATAATCTCCAGCGTAAGCAGCTCGTTGTCGTCGCTGTCGATAGCGCAGCAGAAGTACAGAGACGCATACCTGCCGAGACGGCGATGGAGCAGAGGTCAGAACAGGGTCAGACATCTGGGAAAGAGCAACAGAAAAGTAGCTACCACGAGGTGTGACACTCATTGAGACAAGACTTGACATGTGACACATGAATTGCAAACAATGCCTTCATGAAAAAGCAGAAAAACAAACCTCTTATACACAATCTTCAAGTCTTTCCACTCCAAAAAGCTGCACATCTTTGCTTTTCTTGAAAGCACTGTTGCTATCAGCTCTCGTGTTGTTTTCTTCTTCTGCTTCTCTGGGTATGCACAATACCATTTTTGAAGCCTGAGCTTGCCTTGTCTGCTGAAGAGGAGCATAAAATGCATCTGAAACAGAGAGAGAGGAGTGCGTACCATGGATTAAGTATCTACAATATGAGAATGTATCAGCAGGCTGCAAACATTTCAGCTTCAAATGGGAAACATTTAGGTAACAACCATCTAAAGGCTTGTGAAAACAGTTCAAAATTAGATGTCACCAATGAAAAGCTAGGAAAACCAATGCATACTGATAAACAAGGAAAACGAGCAGTGCTCAGGTGTGTTGGTTTGGAATGGACAAACTTTGGGATTTGGAATGGAGATTTGCAAGGGCAGAGGACTCTTCATACAAAGCTTAATGTTTGCTTATGTGCATAGATAAAAACGGAGTGTAATGAGTTGGATATCCAGATTAATTGCAAGGTTGAAGGCTTGGAGATAAGAAATAAGAAGGTTGAAAAAAGAAAAATGGTGTCAAGATGGCTATAATGGGAAGACCTGGACTTCTACCACAAATTGCAGATATTAGTGCTTTTGGTATGAGTTATGAAAAGCCACAATAAAAGGTCAATTATCCCCTGGCCAAGCACATTTAGTCCCCATACATCATTTTGTTGGACAATGATGTACCTGGGCTGTAGCCTGTACTTAAAACAGTTCACCAGTGCTATGCCACATTGGGGCCCACACCACTCCATGCCGTCAGCTGTTCTGCACCACACCATCAACCAGTCCATGAGTGCCTCAGTCCTCACTCACTGACAATGTCTCATGGAGATTGCCATGCTATACACTCAGGAGCCTTATCCCAATCCCCAGCCTGCCCTTATCTAAAAATAGCAGCTGAGTAATGTAGCAACTCTGAAGGCTGTTCACAGGCACTGTAAACCAAAACTGCTGAGTGCAGTGTGTTCTGTGTGCCCAGCAGGCATGGAGGTAGGGGATGTGTTGGTGGTATGACATCGCATGGCTGCGTGCGGTGGCCGGTCCCAACCGACCACAGCGGCCACTGTGTGCGGTGACGGAAGGATGACATAGGAAGGCAGTGGGCGTAGCTTAGAGCCTGTGTGCAGTCCTACCACACACAGGGCCCGTGAACAGCCCCCTGAAGTGGTACTTACCTCTCCTGTGTACAGAATCTGACAGTCTGTGCAATATACATAAGCCTACATCGAGTACACAAATATTATTTTTCCTCATTTCACAGCAAGAAAAATCGCGGCGAAATCGGTGCGAGACACAAGCCCACTACAGAAAGTAATGACACAACTTACTGTTATTTCTTTGGGATAGGGCAAGGTAGATGGAGAAAAGAGCTCTGAAAATGCTTCTGTTATGGATGTAGTTGAATTAACATCCGAGCATTACCATTTCTAATTTTCTAGAGATCTAATTCTTCCACCCCATCAACGGAAACGAATCGAAACGGGGCGTTCTCAGTTCCAACGTATGTGTTTAAGAACTCGGCAATAGACGGCTGATACAATTGTCGTTCTTATGACGTCATTAAAAACTAAAAGCGCCGGTCCACCAGTCTTGCTTTGGGAATCAACACCCAGGGCATCAGGGTATAAATTACCTATCTGTAAGTCTGTAAGAATCTTGAAATTACCAGCATATAGGGCCTGGCACATAGGCGGCGGAACGGGGGGGGGGGACACCGGGGCACCATGCCCAGAGTACATAGACACGATGCCCTCCCTTGATGTTGCCCTAGATGTTAGCCTTGTTGTTAGCCTCCCTTGATGTTAGCCCTACGGGCGTTGCATGGAAAGCAAGATTGATGGAAAGAGGGGGACCAAAAGTCGGCAGTGCCCCCCCCCCCCCCTGAACAGGGCCTCGTCTAAGGAATTTTCACTGGGGGGGCAGAGACTGAAGGAGCCAAACCTAGGGTACCCCCAAATCCTGTTTTCTCACCGGATTTAGGCCACTTGTTTTTCGTCACAGCCCTGAGAACATGATTTTTTTTAACAAAAGAAAACAAAACAAAAACCAAAATAGGCGATCTGCGCCATACCGTAACCCTCGCCCGTATGCATAGCAGAAGGGTGTGGGGGGGGGGGGAGGGTCGAACGGACTCCTCTCGGTTTTTCGCAAATAAGTCGCGCAAAAAGCGACCGATCGCGACACAACTTTCAGTACCCTCGCGTTTATCAAGTTCACACCAACTCTGAAACTTTCATGACCCTGACCCAAATGACCTTTGACCTGTGAGTTACTTTTCGAGACCAGGTTTATCCGGAATCGCAATTCGGCCCACGTCGGCTCGCATTAGCCGAGCGTTTGCAGTCTTTTCGTGGTTTCAAGCGTTTAAACATGGAATATGATGTTGCTTCCATGCATTAGGGTGGGTGTCAAGGTCTCCGAAAGGTCAGGTCAGGTTATTGACCTTTGATGGCCTCGGTTCACTTTTTCGAGTTTAACACGCTTTTAGACTAGTTTTTGGAGCTGATTTCGAATTTAGCAGCCATTTGAACAATTACGAAGAAGTTTTGGTGCCTTCGCAACATGTTACGAAGCTGTCAGAGGTGTTTGCGAATACCCGAATACCCGGCAAAATCCTTACTGGTTGATCTGACCTGATCTGACCCGACCTGGCCTTAATGCATGGAGACATTATCTATTATCATAACTAACATGGTATTCGTGATCAGCACCCCGAAAAAAACCATAACAGCCACCCTTTACGACGTTCTAACAGGTCCCGATTTCCCCGACTTTTGGGTCATTGACCTGACCTGGAAGGTCAACTGATGACTAAGGATCTTGAAATTGGGTATCATCGTTTTCCTCTCGTCACGGGCAACACGGTCGTTTGTTCCGCGAAGTTCTAGCTCGATCAGGGGCGAAACGGCAAGGGGGTCCAACGGACCCCCCCCCCCTTATACGTTCGCGACTGGAAAAACGCCAATACCGGCGAGGGTTAACATTAGTGTGCTACCCCTTCACATTGACCCACCAGACAGTGATAAACATAGGTACTATCCGTGTTGGGCGTTTCATTGAGTTTGTATGTTTGTGTGTGTGGGGGGGGGGGGAGGCAAACACGAGCTGGGTTGCTGGCCAGCTGCCATTTTATGATTTGCTACTCGGCGCTCTCTGGGCCCTGTTTCACGGCACGCCCCTTCACTTCGCTTCAGCGCGCTTCACTGAAGCGGTGAGGTAAACGGAACCTCCGATGCTAAGGTATGACCTCATCACAAAACAACAGCGTGTTGTATTATATTGCTTGTAGGATTGCTTCGCATTGAGATATGTCGTGGAATACAAACATAAAATGTAACAGCCATATTTCTGATTTCAATGCGAAACAATACCTACTGCAAGCAATATAATACAGCGTGCTGGCGTTTAGTGATGACGTCTTACCTTAGCATCGGAGGTTCCGTTTAACTCGCCGCTTCAGTGAAGCGCGCTGAAGCGGAGTGAAGCGGCGTGCCGTGAAACAGGGCACAGCTCTGAAAATCACAAACCCCTATCTTTTCCCGTAGCCATGAACACTGAACAGTTATTGAACAAATCATTTAATGTTTCTCGTTAAATCCATGTAAGATTCCTAACAAAAACGTATTGCGGAGAAGGTAATTTTGTGAGAAGTTAACGTTTTGACTGGGGGGGCAAATGTTGGCCACTGGGGGGGCAATCCGCTCCACTGGGGAGGCAATTGCCCCCCCAGTTAACATGTTAGACGAGGCCCTGCCCCTGAAGGTGTTCCGCCGCTACTGGCCTGGCAAGTTGCAATTGCCTTGATCCATGTAATGGAACAATAGCCACCAGGCAAACTGAGCTATGATAAATATCCAAAGACTCTAACCAGTTCATAATAGTGTACCTTCTTATACTTCTCTTCTCGAAGGCGAAAACCAAGGCGAAAACTATATATACAGCGAAAACCATATTCCCATCATCCGGCCTTCTCTGCAGCGATCCTCAGCCATCAATCAAATCGCGAGAGTTGTATTTTACGAGGGTATCTACCAGAGGTAGCTACAGACACGGGTGATTCAAGTAGATGTATTGTATGAAAAGACGATGCACCGGACACTGAACAGCCCTAGTCAGTTACCTTCGCCGTCTTATTTGCTTTCAATCTATTCCCCTTCTTCGATTTCCCCGAACACTTTCCATCAGCAGACATGCTTCCACTGCCAATCACTTTTGCCTTCCCTTTCTTACCTATCTTGCTCTTTTTCATTCCGACCTTCACGCTTCCCTTGAGCTTCTTTCCCTTTTTCTTCTGCTTGACTGTCACAACACCGCCTCCCTGGCCTCCATTTTCAGTAGAGGAGGGCTTCTGCTTGTCCTGTGCTTTTTTCAGCGCCTTGATGCGAGCTATCCTGTCGCGATCATACTTGGGCGTGGTATCGATGGTCTCACGTCGAATCGGGTGAACAGCTAGCTCGCGGCGGTCCTTCTTGCTCTTGCGCGGCACCTGCAACAGGTAGTCGGGCACCTCGCAGCCAGAGTTTTTCACCAGGTGCGCGATCTGACGCATGTTTGGCACGTCTTTGGTGGTGAAGAAGGACACGGCCTTGCCGGGCCGGCCGGCGCGACCTGTGCGGCCAATCCGGTGGATGTAGCTAGTGGTGCTCGGCGGCATGTCGTAGTTGATCACAAGGTTGACGCCCTTGAAGTCGATACCGCGGCCCATCAGCTCCGTGCAGATGAGCACCCACACGCGGCCGGCGCGGAACGCCTTGACCACGTTGTCTCTCTGCAGCTGCGTCCGGTCTGCGTGAATCACATCCACCATCACACCGTCGTAGATCAGCTCGCGGAACAGCTCCTTCGCCCGCTCCTTGGTCTGCACGAAGATGATGCACGGAGTTGTCAGTCCCTTCTGCATGATGTTGCGGAAGGCGTACAGCTTGCCCGACTCACTGCCGACGAACACCAGCTCCTGCTCCACGACGTCGCTGGCGGTGTTCTTTTGGCCGACCGACACGGTGACGACGTTGTCCAAGTTCAGGCGACACCACTGGTCCACATCGTGGGCGAAGGTGGCCGAGAAGAGCGCTCGCCGCACCTGGGCCGAGTCGCACGCCGAGTAGATGCGCCCCAGCTGCTCCCGGAAGCCACGCTCGCCCGCCTCGAACAGCTTGTCTGACTCGTCGACGACCAGCCACTCGACGGTGCGGAGACTGACCAGCGGAGGCTCGGCGTCAAGCAGGTAGATCAGACGGTTCGGCGTGCTTACCAGCAGATCGTACTTCTGCGAGACGGGCCGCGGCGTGCCGTCGGCGGCGCGCTTCGCCTTGTCCAGACAGCGCACGCGCAGACCGGTGCCGGTGGCCAGTCGCGAGGCCTCCAGGGCGATCTGCCTGGCCAGCTCTCGGCTGGGCGCCAGGATGAGAGCGCGGCAGCCGGCGTTCCTCGGCTCGCGGAGGTGCTGCAGTACCGGCACCAGGTAGGCGGCCGTCTTTCCGCTGCCGGTCGGCGCGCAGGCGAGCAGCTCGCGACGCTCCAGCATCACGGGCACCGCCTGCATCTGCACAGGCGTCGGCTCGAAGTAGCCAGCCGCCCGCAGGTTGTCCACAATCTGTGTCCGCACACCCAGTCGACCGCTGAGCTCGTCAAAAGTGGCCGCCGGCGCTGGCACGTCAGAGCCCTGCACGTGCAGTCGGTGCTGCTTCCGTAGCTGTTCTGTGGCAGTTAGTGGGTCAACCACTGATGGAGGCTGCTTTCCAGCCTTTGCAGCTTTTCTGCTCTGCTTGACAGTGCAATCTTGCTCTTCATCTTCATCCGATGATGTAGATAGCTTTCGCTTTTTACTGCTCTCCTCCTGTGTGGCTTCTATGGTGCTTCCAGGTGACAGCAGTAGTTTACTGGGCACTCCATCTGAGCTTTTGCTATACCCTTGGCGAACTTTACCTCCAAAGCGGACACCTCGAGTCAGCTTCCAGAAGATGTCATTTGTATCCATGCTTTTAAAAAAGATTATGTAACCTGGAATAAAGGTTTACAGGGTAAATGTGTAGAAAAAGGCTGATTCACTTTTCAAATATACAATTTGCATATTTAAACCTTATTTCACATCATAAATCAAATTGTGCACCAACCATCTGTTGCAGTTTGCAACCCTTCTAAACATAACTAAGCACACAGATGGAGTGACATCTCCTGAGTAAAAACAACGTCATTGCAACACTGCCATTGTGAAAAATATTTGCTACCTGATGACAAACTTCAAAAATAATAAAATATTCAGGTCTAACCTAACCTTAAAGCCCATCCCCGGTACCTGTTTATTCTGCAAGTTGCAACATACAAGGCATTGCAGCGCCACATTTTACATACCGTAAATCCTATAGAAGTTTCAGATATTGTGGTACAACATGATTTTTCTTATTGATTCTACTCAATGACACATTACTTCAAACTGCAGTCCTGCCACGGTCATACAGTCCTGCAAATGGCCTTGCACTCTTGCAGACCATTTTTCGACACGCGTGTTTGGTGCGCAGTGGATGTAAGAAGCGCGCTATTTTTGTATACAGCGTATACATTAAGTATTCATCCCAATAAAAAAGTTAAATTATTTACGAACTATGGATTTAATATTTTCTGAGTGGTATTCAATAATATTAAAGTAACCTATGAAGGATTATGAAAGACAACTAATGTTATATCTTCTTAGCTTTAGCTCTTGATTAGCTAGCTTGATCGACGCCCTACAGACGATAACGACGCAACTGCTTTTTGCGCTCTCTAGAAGCTGAAGCTTGCTTTTCACCTTTTTATTTTTATCCAAGAGTCAAGCCAATCAAGCAAGAACTGAGAAGTAAGCCAGCAAAGATCAAGAATCATCAAGGTCAAAATTCTTGAGAATAAGTAAATAAAGTTAAAAGTTCTCCACCTACGTACTGTGGAATCAAAGTTCTAGATTACGAGGTCAAAGACCAAGACCAAAGTGATATCGAACAATACAATGAATAGATTTCTCATTTCTGTATACCGTGATCGAATAAAAGTATACTTAGTAGTCATCGATATTTAAAAAAGGAGCTTACCTGTAATGTGTGTTGTAGGCTTGTAGGCACGGAGTAAAACCAGTATGAGTTGATCTTACCTGGTTTACTTACCTGGTTGGGTTCCAATGTCCGACTGTGAGGGAATGGCAATTTAGGAAGTTGAGGCAGGGAGTGGACTACGGAACCCCAGAAACATAAGGCGCGCCAAACAGTAGTGCTGGAATGTCCTATGAGCACAATCATAAATAAACTGTCTGGAAATGTGCGCCTCACAACAGTAATTGACATGTAGCATATACTAGTTTCCTAAGATGAGACAGTAAGACATGGTATGTGATCAGGGTGTAGCGAGGAAGACAACTGAAAAGTCTAGAATGCTCCCTTGTGTTTTTAATTCTCCTTATCTCAATGTCCAACTAACTAAGGTAAGGCAAGGTATAATGATTTTTATTTTTCCAGGTTTGAATTCAGCACTCAACAGTAGTCATCTCGTCAAGTGTTCAAGACTTTCAGAAGAAGCCATGAAAACATGCATAAACATGTCAATAAGGAGCAGCAGGAATAAAATCATTTTAACCTTATACTTGGTATTTGCTGTGTACCTCATATATGTCATAATTTTCTTGGCTTCAATGCTTTTCCGATCAGCAAGTGATGTGAAAACTAAAATAAGAGCCCTGCCAACGTACATGAGTGATGCTGAAATTGACAAGATACGTGTGTTAGAAGTTGGGACTTTACAGCAGCAGCTCCAGCAGGCTTTTGGCAAGTAAGTACATTGATTTGTACCTATTCAGCAGTTGTGCATGAATACCATGTTTTGGGCTAATTAGAGTTATGGGATTCAGCAAATAGGTCTGAGTGTTTTTTTTTTTTACAATTTATCTGATTTCCTTTTTACTTTTCATGTTGAAGGTGCTTAGAATTACTGGAAAATAACAAAATTAGCATAAATATTAGACAGCAGTACCTTACTGAGAACCTACTGGGAATGGTATATAAAACTAGCAAGGTATGTGAAATAATCTGGTACCAATTAGTCTGCAATGTTTCATGGCAATTTGGCATTTGCAGTCAATCATGTGACCTGAAGGTATTTCCATTTCCATGATCAGGGCAGATGACAACAAGAATGGCTACCTTGACAAAGATGAACTGTCAGAATGGATTCAGATGAAGGTGTCAGAACACATCACAGTTGGGGTCAAAACCAACTTCAAAGTATTCCTCCTTCTGGACAAAAGCCCAAAGGATGGTGAGTGCTTGTCATTCAGCTATACATTGATAGTTAATCGATTCAGTGAGTTAATCAATAATTTTGTGCATAATTGAACTGGTCAAAGAGCTCCTTTTAGCCTTGAACAATGGAATGGATGGAGCTTTGCGAACAGATTTGTTAGTTCTCCACTGTGTAGTTAGTCTTTCAGGTAGATTTATGAAAGTGCGGTGTTCTAGAAACCCTAATGATCTTGACCTTGGTACCCATTGTTTTACTCAGGCTGGATTAGCATGGAGGAATACGACGCTCTTTTCCTGTCATCCCGAGGCGCCAAAACAGAGGAGGATCTCAGCCGCTCTGACAGAGGTAATTAGAAACGTACAAAAAAACCGGATGCAAGGAATTCGGACAACAGAATGCAAGGGGATTGCGAAAATTGTTTCTACCGCACCTAACATTTATTTGTCAATACACCTTAATGACATCCACGGCGCTGCATTAATTCATTGTTCTGTTTGCCTTGTAGCTTCTGCTGCCATTTCCTCTGTGGCCTCACTCGCCTCCCCTTTATCCGCGTTCAGAGCAGCTGATGAGCGAGCGGGCCGAGTTTCTGGAGCTGGGCAACGAGGAGAAGCTGACGATCGACGAACTGCTGACATTCCGCCACCCGGAGTCGAGTCACGCCCACCTGCTGGCGCGGGTCACCGAGCTCATCGACACACTCGGTGAGACCGACGGGGAGGACGGTTGAATTGCCGGGGAGAGTGGGTGAAAATGACGGGGTGGCTGGACGAAGAGCTAACGATCGGGAGGGACGGGTGATGGGCGAATGGGATAGAGTGGCACTTGAATAAGCAGTTTGTGTTTATATGAAGTAAGCCGATTATTATTATTTTTTTTTTTTTTTTAGTTCATGGCGTAACGTAGAAGAGAGCCGCGGGATGTTACACATAGTTCTGTTCGTCAATCATTAATTGCATGTCATGGAAGCTCAAGTCAATAAAACCCTCCCTCTCTCCCCTCTCCCCCTCTCGTTTCGTACAGACGAGGACGGTGACGGAGCGCTGTCGGTCTCGGAGCTCGGACAGCTCTCCGACCCCGCCTACCGTCCGTCAGAGGAGGAGGCGGCCAACTTTCCCGTCAGCTCGGAGACGGAGATGCGCGCACTGCACGCCCGGCTCGACACCAACGGGGACCAGAAACTGGACCAGCACGAGCTGCTGGTGAGACGCCGGGGGAGGGCAGTTTGTGGGTTGATGATTGGGGGCGCGTCAACAGCGTGGGGATTTCCTGTAGCTGTTAGGAGGTTAACGGGAGTGAATTGTTTGCTGAACATTTTCGATACCTCTGTTTTAGCACGGGGTTCGTCCCGTGGTGGTCATTCAAGTGTGTCAAAATGTACCTTGTGGTGGGAAAGATAGGGCTACCATGCATGGAAGAATGCTAGTTAATCGTTATCAATCCCACTACGGTTACTGAGAAATGTCTCTCAAAGGTGTGCCACTGCCGGCCGAGATATTTCAAAGAAATGTCCTATCGTCCCGCCGGGAGGGAGAAGCTCCGATCTAATACTGTGCTCTTTCCTCGCTCGATGAACCACCACCGCATCAGCTGACTCCCCTCCCCTCGCTCAGGTGTTCGCCGATCCCCGTCACGTGGAGCACGCGTCTCGGGACGCGGCGCGTCTCATACGTCTGGCTGACGCGGACGGGGACGGCCAGTTGGCGCTGACCGAACTCCAGATGCACCCCGATCAGTTCCGCATGATCGTGGACGCCCGGCACAGGTTTCACCAGCCGGGCGATCGCCGGTAGGCCGGCCGATAGCACCGACAGACTGAGGGGCAGATGGATGACAGATGAGGGACAGATGGGTGACAGATGGCGGGGAAAGATTGTGACAGATGTTGATGGGGTGACGGACACTGATAGGCAAAACGACGCTAATTGCTCATGGACGTTGTCTTACTGAGGACCAACAAGGTTTTTTTACGCAGGCCAATTGTGTCAAGTTTGTTCAATATTTATATATTAGGGTGAATATGTCTTCCAAGTTTCAGGTATGAATGTTTTCTTATTACATATTACTGATGCGTAGGAGTTGGCGAGGTATGGACGCAGTCGGGGATTTTGGCTGAGCGTTACCGTGGCCAGGTGCAATTTTTGTTTTTCGAACAAATCGGTTGTTTAGATAAGGTGTTGACATGTTTAAGGTATTTAATTAAGACGTTACGCTGGTGTTACGGTACTGTACTTTGAGCTGAGTTAGTTTAAAGTTACGATAAATTATTTGTCACCCAAACTTCGCTTTATACTGCATAATAACGTTGATCAGAACCATTTGCAAGGACTTGGCAATTAATCTACTTAGTTCGTTGTTGCTAATTATTTACCTATCATGTTAGAATATTGCCAAACATGAATCAAAACAGACCTACCTGCGACCGTTGACATTCAGGCCCCATTTACGCTAGTGCCTGATGATACTGCAACAGGAATGATTAGAGTAGTGCAGTAATTTTATAAATATTTAAAACTTGTGAACTGAACGTTGTGAAATAAGATGGCGTTTTATATCCCACATCTTCCAATATAATGTGCTGTAAATCATCGAACAATACGTGTTACCAGCAATCGTTGTTTTTGTTTCACGATGCGTGCCGTGTTGCCTCATATGAAGGGTATATTTGCCTTATACTTGTGTTGTATCGCAGATGATACATATTTTACCATTCCTGGTTGTCCGTCCACGTCTTACCTGATGCAGTGTAAACGTACTATTGAGGAATATTTTAACAATGTGTACATATATCCTTATCGGATCGCGGTTCATCGTTTGATGAACAAAAGTAGGCGAGTATGCCTTTTTGTGGTTATTTTTATAAATGCAGTGATACGTGGCTTTCAATCAAATACATTCAGGTTGTTTAACTGTGTGTTATGAAAGGATTGGATTTAATCATAAGAAGATGCGTAAACATGCATGGGAGGTATGGTGCCCAAAGAGATAAATATTTCAACCTCCGTTTAACGTGAGGAAGTTCCGCCTGCTCAGAATCTACGTACGCGTTCGCATGTAACCTTACCTATCTACAAGGCATGGATAAATATGTAGTGTGGAGTGTGGACCGTGTTCCGCAAAATGTTTACGTCGCGTACAATAGTCACAATGCGACGACGGAGAAATGGTCGCGTCACAATCCCGACAATGCTTGGACTGTCCCCATGCAGCGTATAGTTGGGTGAAACAGCTTCACCACCACCTACCATGCCCAAGATCAGCGCCAAAAATAAGTGATATATTACAAAAAAATGAATATATACAAATGACATGATGAGCAAGGGGAGACAGTCAAGATAGCGGCACCGCGCTACACGGCCCCACACATCTCCTACCCTCTCTTTCCCTTGCCTCCCACCTCCCAGAAAGTCAATTGGATTACTTTCTCTGGAGAAGGTTGCAGGGTAAGTGGATGCTGAATAGAGCACAAGTATCACCACTATCAGTGCATCGCCTGTGACTTCTCGATCTCCGACCGGAAGCGCGCGATCGTCTCTTTGGCCAGCTTTAGCTTGTCCCTGAGGTCGTCAATCTCTCGTTTTACTTTGTCTCGAGCAGAGTTAATGGCTGCCTCAGTCTTCTGCCGCTTCTCCTCAACTGGAAAACGGGGAGAGGGCGTGTCACGAGGCGCACGCACCAGAGGGCGACGAATGTTCACACAAAAACGCCGTTCAGAGACGGTGATTAGGAATGAGAGGCACAACCAAATAGCAGATGGTGTTTGCACAGCTTCTCTTTTGTATTTGTGTGTTCCATTGTCAGACTGTCCCATATGCTTGCATCCCTCATGCCGGTCCAACCCATGTTTGTATGCACCGCTCGGTGACTCGCACTGCATCCGTAGTGCTCAGTGCGTCTCGAGTCTGTACCCCAATCCCCCGAATTTCGTACCACTCACGTCTCACAGTGTCTCGTGCCTGTGCCACGTGTTTGGGCCACTCCTGTTCGTATTCGTGTTTGTACGGGCCGCGGGTGATCTGTATCATGTTTGTTTGCACCACCCACAGTGTCTCGTGTTTGTACCATTCACAGTCCGTCTCGTGTTTGTACCACTCACAGTCCGTCTCGTGTTTGTACCATGACTCACAGTCTGTCTCGTGTTTGTACGGGCCGAGGGTGATCTGCCGAGTGGACGTCAGCAGCTGCTGCATCATCAGCGACGGCTCCTGGAAGATCATTTCGTCGTAGTACTCGCAGACCAGCGTCTTCAGCGGACCCATGACGACGGGCGCAGGGGCGCCGCTCGAGGGGAACAGCTTCAGCACGTGGTACAGCGTCACCTGCCCGGGGGGGGGGGGGGCGGTGTCAGCCTCCGGTCTGTCCCCATGCCATGAGCGGCGGACATATTATAAATGAGGACTGTTTGTAAAAAGAAAAGAAAATATTCAACATTTTCTTCAACTTTCAATCAAAGCCAGAACTGTAGATTAAACACCCAAGCCAACGATAAAGTTGGTAAAGCGCAACTCGCGGACGATAACATGACAGGGTCAGGACGCCTTATGACAGGACGATAAATTACGGTCAGCTGAGTTACCGTATACATCTATTGTTGAAGAGTTACCAAGTGTTATAAAGAGCAGCATACACTCACCGGCCGCTCATTAGGGTCCTCGAAGTAGATTTTGATGACGACCTCGAACTCCCCCCAGCCGGTCTCGGTGACCTCGTACGGCGGTTTGGAGACCACCCGGGTGGCATTAGGGTAGCTGTCGTGCAGCTTGAACTGCACCTTCTTCACGTACACAGACATGTCTTCGTTGCTGCAGGAGATGTGTGTCGTGTCAGTAGGTATGTAAATGAGCTGATGACAAAAAAGATAGGTACTAAGTAGGGGGTAAGCAGTTGTTTAAATGATAGCTTATTGCATTCACTCACCATGAAAGATTGCTAGTTGCTACCATGAAACTTCACCCCCTAAAAAAACAAAGCTAAGAGCATATCAGTACCAGTTTTGTAATGCAACATACTTGTACGGTTTGGCGTAAACGGTCCACTGGTGCGTGTGGCCATCCTCCTCCCGCTTCTTTCCAAAGGGTCGAGCCAGGTTCCCATATACGATTGGCTTCACTACGGTCACTCCCTGGCAAACAGAGCAAGAGATGCATCAGCATAGTACCTATCTTGCTGCAGGTTGCAGTTACGCATGGCAAGATACGTAAAAATTGAGTTACATTAAGGTAAAAAAAAAAACATTTTGGTGACTAAGAAGCACTTAGTCCATCTACAACTTCCATCATACCTTCATTCTTCCACTTCCTTCTACAGAATCTTGTGATTCAGACATGTCTGAAGCTTACCACACCACTATCTGAAAAGAAAACAATAATTATAACATGGTGTGTGAGGCATATGTTGTTGTCGTTTATAACAAACAAACAGGTAGGTACCGCATGGATACATGAGCCATATTCTGATAATTAGGAATGGTTTGCAAGTAGGTAGCTACCTGTACTCTGTAGTAGGTAGCAACAAAATAATAATTATGATAATCTAATGCACAAAAAGGGTAGTCGTGAAGCAGGCATCACACTTGTGTTTGCAGCCAAGGAGAAGCACTATACCAGAGTGGAAACCATCCATACACTACGCCGGACGCCCGTGAGCGGTGAGACCCTCTTGCGCCGAAATTCAGCGCAAGCGATTTTGCGCTAAAAAGTCTGCATGATTTGCGTCAAAAATTGGGTGCCTATTTGTGCCAAAAATAAGCCACTTTTATATAAAGCCCATGTGCACATCTACCAATCAAGGCTATACAACCAGACAGAGCATTCCGGGGCCTTGGACGCTCTCCCTTGTTTGAGCGTCCGAGTAAGTGTTTTACCCAATACCTCAATACGCTTAGCGCACTGTAGCGTCGTGCTGTGAATCAAGGCCGGAGTCGTAAGTTCCGGGGCCACAAAAAATCGGCGGAGCGGTGTGTTCGAGGCTGGCGGGAGCCAGCGAGGGCCGGACACCGGAGCAGCACTGCTCCGGCACATCAGCCTCTTCTCGGCACAGGGCGCAGAGCGCCGCGAGGCGCTGCTGGCACGCCGCAGAGTGGAGACAGCCGATTCGGTGCACATACTGGAGCGAGCGGCCCCAGTGACCTACCGTCATCTGGTGCACCGAAACGGTGTCCTCTCGGTCCTCTCCGGGGATAGGGAGCGGCGACGTGCTCCCGAGGATAAATAGTGACTCGGACCAGTTGTCGCGCACTTGAATCGCGCCGTTGATGCGAGACCGCACAGTGAACACTGAACAGCCGGTCGGCGAGCGAGCGTTTGAGGGCAGGGCAGCCGCTTGTTCATTGTTGTTCGTCCCTCTGTCTCCGCAAAAATGAAAGCGACGTCAAAAGGTACAACAGCCCAATGCAGAAACCTGGTCTTCTGGTCCTGTGTTAATTATTTCAAATTAATATGGAAATATTTAGTAAAACCAAAAAAAGGTCTGCCATTAAATTAACCCAGCAGAAAAGTGGTCGAGTAGGTAGGCACCTACGTGTACCAAGTTTTGAAGCAAGAAACCAGCATAACCTACCTATTTATTGCATTTATTATGCAAAGATAGGTACCTACCTACCGTTCAAAATCAAGAATGAAATGCTGTTCCCTAAAGTCAAAGTAGGTATAAACGACCTTGCTCTGAATGGCCTGAAGATCTCTGTATGACCTGTATTGGTATGGGCCTTGGCAACTAGTGTAAATAATAAACATCAAATATTGTCCTTTATTATGTTTTATGGCAAGGTCTTAGTGCCCTTCCGGGCCCTTCCTATACCTATTTATATACACTGTGCCTATACTTCTTCTTCTTTGTGGGTTAGGGCGCGCAGCCGTCAGGCCCTAGCGTCCAACTTCTTCGTTTCTTGCATTCAACTGTCCGATCTTCCACGATGTAGTGTCGGGGTTGGTAGGTACTAAGCGGTAACTAAGCAGGGTTGTGGGTAGCCGGAAAAGGAAAAAACCTAGGGAAGGACAAATGCCAGGGGAGGAAATTGCCGGGGAAGGATTAAGCCAGAAGGAACAGACCTGAGTAGCAGTGTTAGTGTTAGTTTGATTGGGCAGCAATCTACAAAATGATGAAAGAAAGATCAATACTCTTCTAGTCAGAGTGTTACCAGGTAATCAGAGAAAGAGAGAGCGAGAGAAATTCAGACCACTCTACGAGCTAGCTATATATACTACCATATACTAAAATAAAAGAGAGAATAGAAAACACGAACCACAGAGGACATGTGCTCAGAGTGCACTGTTGTTTCACTTAGACCTCCCGTACCGTTCACATTAGACCTCCACAGAGACGAATCAGTAATCAAAACACACCGAAAGAAAGTTTCCAAAGCCTAGAATCACCACACAAAAACAGGCAAAAGTAACATCATCAGTGGGGGCGGCAAGTAAGTAGCCGCCAATCAAACATTACACAGTTGTTAGAAGTACTGTCAATTCCGGTATATCAATAGAACCCGCCGCATTTACAGTTTGTCAAGCAGCTCACAATCGCGCAAGAAAAGAAACACTGCGTCCAATACATTAGGTTCTGTATCACCCAGCAGAGTCGCAATTGTGAACGGGAGACCAGCATCTCCACATGTTCGTCGCAAACGTTGGCGTGTCGTGCGATATTGAGGGCAATCAATTAGGAGATGTTTGACATCGATAATGCATCGACAAGGTGTACATAACGGTGGTGGAGCACGATCCATGACATGCGAGTGCGTAAGGAGTGTATGGCCAAGTCTCAGGCGACACAGCACTACTTCTTCTTGGCGACTGTCACGAGCGCCGGACGTCCACCTTCCTATGGTAGGCTTAATCGTCTTAAGGTGAGTGGGCCGAAACTCTTGCCATAAGGTAGCAAATTGGTCTCGAACGCGCCGTCGGACCTCTGGGACATATTCACGATAACCAACTGCGACCGGTGTAACCTCTGGTTTGTCATGTGCTTTCCCGGCCCAATAGTCAGCTCGCACATTTCCAGCTATACCGCTATGTCCCGGTACCCATATAAGAATGCACCTCATTCCATCCTCGGCAATGCGATGGTTTAATTCTAAAATAGAGGTAAGTAACGGGTGCCTCGTGGTGCCGTGCGCCATGCCTAACGCTTTCACAGCCGATTGAGAATCGGTGCATATCAAGGAACGTGGAATGCGATGGGTGCAGACAAACTTCAGGGCTTCTAGTATAGCTACTAGTTCGCCTGTATAAATAGAAAGACCTTCCGGTAACTTAAACGAAAAGAAAGCATTGTTAATGGTGAAAGCACAAGCCACCGACTCATGCCGCTTGGATCCATCTGTGTACAGTATCCGATATCCAGGGTACTCGCTGATAAGAGTCTGAAACTCGGCCTGCACGTCTATCGTGGAGCGGCTCGCTTTATCCTGGTTAGTTAGCAGGCGCGTCGTGACACACGGCAGAATCCACGGTGCCAAAGGCGCTGAGGGTTTGGCAAGGCCTGTCGGTGGTTCATAATCGAAGTCGGCAATCATGCGCTGGAGGCGTAAGCACACCGTGAATCCAGAAATTCTGCGAAGATATTGGTCTGATAATCCTCGGTAGAGCTCCTCAGAGGCGGTCAAGTCTGTTATACTGTGACAAGGGTGGTGTTCATCACTCAAAACCTTCAGAAAATACCGAAGGAGTAACTCTTTGCGACGGAGAGATAACGGGGGAATATCGGCATCAACCTGCAATGCTCGAACAGGAGAGGTGCGTAAGGCCCCCGTTGCAACTCTCAAACATGCATTCTGAAGAGTCTCGAGAGATTCGACTCGTCGCGTGTGTGGACCATCGATAATGTATGAAGCGTATTCCAAGATTGGTCGAATCATTGCTTTATACATTCGGGTCAATATGATTCGGTCTGCCCCATAGCTCTTTGCAGCGACGCATTTAAGCACGGCCATCCTCTTTTGGACCCGGCTTTTAATATACTCTACATGGGAATGTAAGTTCATTCGGGAGTCGAGAATAACTCCAAGGTATTTCACCTCATCCACAATGGGAATGGGGTCATTATTGATGCACAAAGGAGGGAACACTGATAGGTCGACCCTTCGTAATCCACGTCGGAAAAGGATCGCATTAGACTTGGTACTAGAAAATGTAAACCCAGTGCCTGAAGCCCACTCACCAATATTGTTAAGGGCATCTTGCAATTTCCGAAATAGCTTCGGGATTCGTCGCCCTTGCACCCATATGGTGACATCGTCAGCATAAATTGCGTACGAAACTCCTGGGGGTAGCACGTCGGCGATGGAATCGATGGCAAGGTTGAATAAGATAGGTGAAATCACGCCCCCCTGCACTATGCCATAATTCTGCATAAATGTATCAGATAATGTGCCGCAGCGGACCTGAAAGGTGCGATCTTTCAAGAAATTCTGAATAAAATGCATGATGTGACCTCGGAAACCCGCAGCATACATGCGATGCAGTAATACCGTAGGGGAGACCAAGTTATATGCAGATTTTATATCGAGGAACACAGCCAAAGTGCTGGCATGGTGAAGAAAACCGTCACGTACATGTGTGTCCAGACGGACAAGATGGTCAGCCGTGGATTTATCAGGCCTAAACGCACATTGATATTTGGTGAGTAGCCCGTGCTCTTCCACACACCACGTTAGACGCTTCCCAATCATGCGTTCCATTAACTTGCACATGCACGACGTAAGTTGTATAGGTCGGTAAGATGAAACCTGGTTGACATCCCTTCCTGGCTTCGGAATGGGAATCAGGTAAGAATGGCGCCATTCTGAGGGGAAAACATCGTTTGTCCAAATATAATTATACAGCTTCAGAAGTTGCCGAAGCTGAGGGTCAGTCATATGGCGAAAGAAATCATAATGTATTTGATCTGGTCCTACCGAGGTTGAACCTGATCGATGAATAGCCTCTGTTAACTCCCTGAGTGAAAACTCTCTATTGTAAACTTCCTGGTTGTCCGAGCAAAAACTTGGCATTGACCTTGCCATGTCTCGTTCTCTAAGCAGGAAGTCCCTGGAGTAGTTAGCTGGCGAGCTAAGTTCCTCAAAGAACTGCCCGAAGGCGTTAACCACTTCTGTGGGGTCATCAATAACTCTGTCATGTTGGACAAGGACTGGTAAGCGTCTAGTTAGCCTGGTTTTGTGAGAGAACTTCCTCAAGATATCCCATAGTTTACTCATCGGAGTACGATGGTTAAACAGTGATACCAGTTCTCTCCACGATGACATTTGTGCCTGCCGAAGGATCCGTCTAGTTTGCGCTTTCACCTTACGGTACTCCAATCGGAGAAATACAGAATGAACGTCTCGACGCATTCGGTTATGTGCCCTACGTCGGTTCCTTATCGCCTCCCTGCAGGCGTCTGTCCACCAGGGGCACTGATATTTGGAATTCCCTTTCCGGATGGGTACGTACGTCATCGCGGTGTCAATGATAGTCTGTGTGATATTCGCACAGTTTTGGAGACCCAAACTGTCAGCAAATTGTAGATCGCAGCTCATCTGAAACATCGTCCAATCAGCTTTCCTCACATTCCACCCGGTGAATATGGGTGGTAAACTAGGGGAGGGGTAAGACTGGCAATGACGAATATGTATCGGGAAATGATCACTGCCGTGCAAGTCCTTGTCTGTTGTCCAGTCAAACAGGTGAGCAATTTCACTGGAAACCAGGGTCAGGTCAATATGGGACTCTGCACCAGTGGCTTCATCCAGTCGAGTCGGCTGGCCGTCATTGAGAATGCGAAGATCATGGTAATTCACAACATCCATCCAAATTATACCTCGAGGGTCACAGCGATCTGAGCCCCACAAGTAGTGCTTACTATTCGCATCAGTGCAAATAAGATATGGGGTAGGGAGCTGAGAGAGCAGGTGTGCTAAATCCTGGAATGAGAATGGGTCATTAGGTGGCAAATACAAGGAACACATGGTTATGCTCCGATCGTTCACCCGAATCGTGCAAGCTACCGCTTGTAACGTGGATTGTATATGAAGCCTACGGTGAGGCAGCCTGTCAGACACATATATAGTGACACCGCCCCGCCTGTCACCTTGTGGAGCAAAGTCACTGTATTCTGTACAGTAGGGGATGTGGAAAGAATATTTATCGTTTTGGATGAAATGGGTCTCCTGGACACATATCACCTCATATGGATCACATGTAAACATATGTTTAGCCTCAGCCCATTTGCCAATCAGGCCACGGGCATTCCATTGTAGTATGTTTAACACCATAAATGCTCACTAGTTACACCAAGATCACGGGCCCTGCCACAGCAGGCCCCTGTCACCAAAAAAGAAAAGGAAAAGAAAGAGAAAGAGAAGAAAAGAAGAAAAAAAAGTTGCCTTCTGTAAATTCCTGCCTCTCTACCTCTCTCTCCTTTCTCTCTCCCTCTGAACTAGGTAGGGGCGGGGGGCTTCCTGGTGAGGCTCGGCATACGCCGGCCCCTTCCTGCACTGCCTCCCTGTCGCCTGAGTCCTATTGGAGGGGATGGGGAGACACTCTCGTCGGAGAGTCCTCCTAGCCATCCAGGAGATGAAGATTCCCTGTGTCTATCCTTGGAGTGTTCAGGAGTTAGCTTTGCCTCAGAACACTGGGGTTCCTGTGGGTTCCAACTCTGCCTGGCACTCTGCTGTGAGGTTGTGTCCCAATCATCGGTCAATGGTTCAGTCAGGGGTTCCGGGTCCGGCACTGCAGAGGGTGGGGAACCCGTCATTGAGAACAGGGATTCCTGGGAACCACCTGTTACAGCCTGCGAGTCCATTGTGTCAGGATTGTTCTGAGGGACATCCTGGGCTGTATCCGAGTGGGACATGGTGGAGATGGTTAGAGCCTGAGAGTCCATCATCTCGGAGGGCCTTTGTTGTTCACTGTCTTGGTCAATATTGGGTTGCACCGAAGGCCTGGGGGCTGTAGCTGCTGGAGTAGGGGGTTGTCCAGAGACCGGGGTTCCCTGCCCTCTTTGGTTTTCCTCTCGTGCACTGACATCACTCCTCCCTGGTCCTGTCTGGAGCTGTAAGAACCTGTCAAAGAGGGTGATCATTTTGTCCAGTTTCTGTTCGATAGTGCTCACTTGTGCTTTGAGGGATGGATCAGACGGAGTATCACTGACACTGTTGCCCCGCACCACTGTGGTGAAGGGCCTAATGTTTGGGGTTTGATTTTCCTTGTCATACAATCGACGCGCATGGGCGTAGGAAACATCCCTGGTGACTTTGATTTCACAAATAGCTTTCTCTTTTTTCCACTTGGGGCATTGCCGGGAAAGACAGTCATGTGTGCCATCGCCACAGTGGATGCATGTTTGGGAACATGTGCCCTCGTGCTTCTGCTCACCACACTTAAGGCACACTGCCTCAACCTGACACCTTGCCTGCATATGGCCGTACTTCCCACATTGCAGGCATATAAGTGGGTTGGGAATGTGTTGGCGAACCTGGTATACCACATAGTCAAATTCAAGTCTGGAAGGACATGTGGGCCTGTCAAATGTCAGTAGAATGATGGGGGTTTTCTCCGTGTGATTGCCCACTCTCCGAGTGAATCGACGGGCGGCAACCACCCCGAAGCTGGACAACCAACCAACGATTTCATCCTCAGGAAGGCCCATGAGATCAGGGGCATTGATTGTCCCCCGGCTCTGGTTTAGCTTTTCATCCTTCTCGATCACACACGCCTCATCTCCGAACTTACACACCTTCAATAGTTTCTCGGTTTGGGCACTGTCTTTGGTTTTAAGTAGTAATCTACCATCATTCAAAAAGTTTGCTTTGTCCACTTTGTCTTTGGATCCTAGAATCCCACGGACACACATCTGAATCCATGGCCACCCTCTTTCCTTCAGAGGCTGCCCGGACTGCAGCTTAACGGAAAGATAGCTGCCAGAATCATCATCCTCACTCCAGAAATTAACAACCGTGTCGTCCTCTCGCACTCTCTTACTGGCCCTACTTGGCCCCATCCTCCTGATCTATCCCATCGGTGACAGAGATCAAGAGAAACCTAACCAAGTCTTTTGCCGTGCAAAAAGACTCCAGGAACGACTCACCCCGATCCTCGGCTCAGAGCCAGAGCCCAAAAACAAAGGAATAGAAACAAACCAAATCAACTCCTGAAACTAGGCTCCCGGATTCGAATCTTCTCGAACGTCCAAGTTCGCCAGATACGCCTTCACCCTGCCACGTGTCTCGCAAGAATGACTGTGCCTATACATTACATATCATTGGAAAATAGAATTGTCTGAAACGCGCCATTTCACTAAAAGAACGAGTAGAAATATTGTGGTTATTTATACGTCATAAATACCGCGTCCATACCCAATACTGTCCTCACCCAATGGGCCAATACTGTTCGAAAGCCGGAAGTTATATCTAAGATCATTTGGCTATTATGAGTAAAAGAAAAAGCCTCCTCAAATATTTTGCTTAGTTTTGATTTCGAAGGCTTTTGGTTGGTGAGTGCGCACGCCATCTGTCCAATCTGTCCACTGTAGAAATGACGTCATTAGAGTTCTCTAAGGTACCCTCGCAGGTGAGATTTTTATTAGATGCATCCTTGAACTAAGGGTCACATGTGTTTGTTGTGTGTATGCGCGCCGCGCGGGGCAGAGGTATACGTACCTATACCACCAATGCCGTCGTATGCGATTTATTCTTGGATTTATTCATAGAAATTAGAGAGTATGTTGTGCGCTCATATTGATGTGTTATCTTCTGTTTCAGTTACGTGCCTTGACATTGACATTCCAAGTTCCAACGCTCATTAGATCAGTTGAATGATTCTTTAGTCGAATGCCAGGCGATTGACAAATCAAAATTGAAATGGTCTTGAATTTCATACCTATCTAGAAATAAAGAGATTTATCAATTCATTCCCATGTTGGTCTGATTCATTGGTTCATTCATAAACTCGTTTGGTCACCTTACCTTACCTTACCTTACACTATCGGGAATTTTGAAAGGCAACTCGCCTGTAGGTCCCGCTCTCGTCGAGCTCGTGACTGGTGGTCATCTCTAGTCGTGAGTAGGAGTCAGGTACATCAGATTGGCCCAATGCTTGTCAAGTCTGGATTTGAAGGCATTGAGGGATGGGGCCTGGACAACTGGACAACTGCAGGGAGGGAGTTCCAGTCGTTGAGCGCTCGAATAGTGAATAGTTGTCTTCTGGCTCGTGACTTGGCATGTGGTTTGTACAGCTTCCAGGGATGGCCACGGTTGGACCTCATGGACGCAGGCTTGACAAACTTGTCCGAGTCGATATCGATCTTGTTATGCAGCAGCTGGTACATTCCAATCATGTCACCACGGCGTCTTCGGTGGAGCAGTGAAGGAAGCTTCAGGCATTTCAGTCTCTCAGTATATGGTTTGCTCCTGATGCTGGACACTAATCGAGTAGCGCGCCGCTGGACTCGCTCCACAAGCTTGATGTCTGCACGATTGAACGGGCCCCATATGAGGTTACCGTATTCAAGGTGGGGCCTGACAAATGCCTTGAACAAAATCGGCAGGGTGATCTCGTCCAGATTCGAGAATGACCTCCGGATCAGAGACAGAATCTGTGAAGCCTTTGATACAGCTGAGGAAGCCTGCCTCCTGAACTTCAGCTCGGGATCGATGATGACACCCAGATCTCTCTCAGCTGAGGTGGAGGCGAGGCAGACACCGTTCATAGAGTAGGAGTGACCAGAGTTCTTGGCCCCGACGTTCAAGGAAGCACACTTGCTCTGGTTGAACGCAAGCTGCCACTTCTTGGACCAGGTGGTGAGAGCATCAATGTCGAGCTGGAGCAGGGATGCATCACTGGGAGTATCAATGCTGCAGTACAACTTCGTGTCATCAGCAAAAATCTTGATGCAGGACCTCACCGCGTCGAGGATGTCGTTAATATATACAAGGAACAGAAGGGGCCCTAGTACAGAACCCTGTGGCACCCCGCTGGTGACAGGAGACCAGGTGGATTGACAACCTTGCACGACGACTCGTTGTTGCCGATTGGATAGAAATGACCTTATCCACTCAAGGAGGTGTCCAGTCACACCGTATGCTCTCAGTTTGACGAGTAGGCGTTCGTGAGGGACGGAATCGAAAGCTTTTCTGAAGTCCAGATATATGACGTCGACCGGGCTCCCGTCTTCAATCGCACGGCTCCAGTCATCCAAGACTTCCAGTAGCTGAGTCGTGCAGGATCGGTGTGGGCGAAAACCATGCTGGTGACGCGACAACAGTCCATTCGAGGTGAGATATGCCATCAATTGGTCCCTTATCAGCGACTCCATGACCTTGCACGTCACTGCAGCTAAGCTAATTGGACGATAGTTCTCTGGTCGTCTTCTGTCTCCTTTTTTGAAGATGGGCACAACTGTGGCAAGTGTCCAGTCGTGGGGAACACATCCTTCATCTAATGACTTGCGGTAGATGGAAGCGAGAGGAGCACTGATGGAGTTGGCCGACTCAGACAGAATTCTTGGGTGGATGTCGTCGGGGCCAGGAGAGCTCGTGGTCTTCAGGGATGCCAGCTTCTGTCGGACCATTTCTGGAGAGATGGACACATCGCTGATGTTGAGTGAGGTTTGCTGCCGGGCGAGTTCGGGAACTTCATGTTCCTCAGTAGTGAAGACACTGGAGAAGTAGTCATTCAAGATGTCGGCTTTTGCTGAGTCGTCACTGACTGACCTGCCTTCGGGGTCGAGAATATCTCCGATACCCGTCCTCACTTTCAGGCGTGAATTCGTGTACTGCCAGAAGGCCTTTGGATTGGTTTTGATCTTGGCCGCCAGTTGGAGCTCAAAGTTTCTTCGCAAGCTTCTGGTGAGGCTCCTGTTTGTCACTGTACTCGTGTTTGTACTCGCTTTGTTACACTGTACGGTAGCACAACAGCATAGCATAGCTTAAATAAGCAAAATACCTCAGGGAATAACAATTCAAATTACTTTTTTGATTTTTTATGTCGATTTTTCCCATTTCAAAATGAGTATTCTGGAGACCCAAGTACCTTTGATAAAACCTAAAACAAACTCGGATATAGTTTCAACTACAGATAAAGGCTGATAAGGCTAGTTGCTGTTATGCCTAGCATAAAGCTGCCTATGGGTTTTGCCCAACACATGAAAAAGACGTAATTGCTTATGTGACAGAAAGAGTGTCAGCCATTCTAACTGATATTTCATTACCTGTTTTTTTTGTGACTGGTGAGTGGTGAAACTTTTCCAGTGGCAACTTAGGAATAAAAATAGGTAACTAGTCTGGCTCAGCGATAGTAATTTTTTGCAGGTCACAACATGGAAAACCCACATCCTGAACAAGAGGCTGAAGATGTGTCTGCTGATTTCTTGCTGAAAAGGCTGGAGGAGATTCCTCTGGAGAATGTGAAGCTTCTTGGCACTACTCTGTAAGTGTTTCAGCTCTATACAACTGCTTCCTTATTGGGCAGTTTCATTATAGGTACATGCTGTTATCCTAGCTTTTTGCTCAAATTCCAAATGGTACCTACCTACCTACCTACCTACCTACCTACCTCCTACCTAGTACTTACCTACAAAAGACATTTTTGTTTTCATCTGTCTACCCTTTAGGTGGGATCAACTTACCCCAGGTCCTGCTACCTGACCTAAGTCTGTGACCTGAGCCCCAGCTCTGAGGCCTGACCTCTGACTGCCGCCCCTGCACCCAGGCAGCGGTGTCGGTCGACGCTGGCCGGCCGGCCGGGCTCCGGCCGTCTGCTCGGCCCCGAGACGCTGTGTCCCTCGTGCAGCACGCCCTGGTTGTGCGGTCAGTACCGCGCCGAGCTGCGGCCGCGGCCCGTCGCCACCAAACCGCTCCGGAGACTGCTGAACAAGCGTCGGGAGGGCCGGCCCATGGGTCTGCTGCAGACCAGGCTGCTGGACCGGTTCCTGGCGGCGCGGGACACGATCGTGAGTGACGGGGAGGGCTGGTGATGAGGCCCGGTGCGGGGCAGGTAGGGAAAGGCTGGAATTGCATGGAGCTGGTACTTATTGCTGGACGATACAAATGTACTTTTGTTCCGGGTACTGTTTACTACTTGCGCCGTGAACGACATGCGTGACAAAACTGCGGCGATTAGTGGATTCTAGAAAATGTTCGATAGAGTAAAGGAAACGTGCTCGCTTTTCATGGTTCTCGATCTCATTGACAGAATGATGCCTTTCCACTCAGCTGAACAGTTTGACGTTCTCTACCACAACTTTAAGTGATATACGCCAACCTGTTGGTTTACCGTGACATCTGAGATACCTGAGATACGTAGGGATCGTGGCTTAGCTGACCTTGACCTGTCCTCATCTTTCAACGCACTAGCGCGGCAACTCAGCCGTCTTCTGTTCTCTCCCCAGGTGATCGAGTGTAAACTCTGCGAGAAGGTCACAGAGGTACCAATCGTGTCCCGCTCCGGTCGTCAGAAGTCGAACCCGCTCGGAACTCCCGCTGGCGTCTCCGTACCGACCACCCCAGCGGCCACTCCGGTCAAAACTCCTGGCGTTACTCCCGGCACAACCCCGGCAACCAGCGGACGGCGACGGAGCAAGGCACGCGACCGAAACGCGGGTCTGGTGATACCAGAGTCTCTGAGGACCCCGAGTACGCCGGCTACTCCCTCCGCCCCCGCCGCCGCCGCCGCCGCCGCCTCCTCTGTGGCAGCTGGAGGGACGCCTGAGCTGGGACAGTCACCCGCCGTCCGAGCCCGACTTGGTCCCGGAGTGGGTGACTCGCCTGCCGCGGCCGGAGACGCGCCAGAAGTGGAGCCGGACGCTCCCATCCCACTCAAGAAAACCAAGCGACCGCTGACTGCTACGGTCGGTTCGGGTGGTGCGGGGAATGTGTCTGGTGGTGCAGCGCAGGCGACGATCCCTCTGAAAAAGGGTCGCTCGGGGCCTGTCCCTGCTCGCCCCGATCGCGCTTCAGGGAAGGGTAGGACTGGTAAGAGCGCGATATCTTCCCCGTCGACTCCGGCGGCGCCAGTGTCGTCCGCCGAGGCGAGGGAGAAGCAGAGACGGCTGCAGAAAATTCTAGCGCAGGCCGACTGTCGTTCATCAAACACAGGACTGATGGCGTTTTTGTCGGAACTCTGACGGTGGATGAGATGGGAGAAGGTTGAGCGATGTGTTGTGATAATATAATGTGGATGATCAGATCTGTTTATTTACGGGCTTTTAGAAATGTGCCTTCAGGAATGAAAAGTAGGTACTGGTGGTTGACAGGGTGACACGGTGGTACTGGTGGCACGGGAAGGTTAAATATGCGTTCACGGTGTAGTTCTCGCACTTCTATAATTGTATATGTGCTGGTAACGCAAAAAAAAAACACTCTAAACGATGCATCAATTAATCAGGATTCAGAAGTCTTCACAATCACGTTGCGTTGTATCACTCCCCTTAAACACGAGGTTGTGGTAAACATTGTGTTGCACTCGGAACCAGATTTGCGGCGTATAGGGGTATTAGTGGCGTCACCTATATGGGAATTTTTTTTTCAGATTCCGGTGCCTGCCGTACAGATGGCAGTACTTCCGTACGATTTAGTTTATAGGGCGCATGTGTGGGACCAAACAGCATGGCAGGTCAGTTGATGGCTGATTTGGGTCCACTGTCTTGTAGCGAATTAATATCCAATTCAGTGTGTGTGGCATGATGTCAAGCGTGTTAAGCATGAAGCCGGCGTTTTGAATTCCGCCTTTGTTGAAGCACTGCCGGTAAGGCATTCGTATGATTCCCAATTCAGGATAATATAATTAAACTTTACTTATGACCTTAACAAGACTGCCCGTGGGTATGTGGTGTTGCCCAAGGTGTTGCCTCTTTGCCACTGGTCATTTATTTTATCGAGCAATGTCGCAACTCGTGACTTGCATCAAAGCGGCGCAGTAGGTTCGTAGGTCACCGACAGATAACTGAGAGCAGTTTAAATTAATCAAGCTAAGCTATTGACCTTAACTATTGAACAAACTGATTCGAGGTGTTCGGTTGAAACAATAATGGTTTTATCATTTGAAGTACATATAATGTAAAACTTCCGAATCGTCCTACAAATGTCAACTCGTCATTGACCAGTGGTCCCTATTGAAAGTCGTATTTTTATTGCAATAAGCCAAGTCCAACGCGTAATTTATGTTTCTCTCATTTACTCGTGCCATCATCGAATGCATGCATGGGAGCTGCGTGAGCGTGACCATCTAAAAAAAAAAACAAAAAAACATTAGTCCTTAGAAGTAGAAATACGCTGAAGGTTAAGGCGACACGTGCAAAGAGCGTCCAATGCACGGCTTTCCGTCGCGTCTTATTCTAGAGTGCATTTTTAGAATTCAAATGCTATGTTGTCCGACATTCGCTGTTCGTCCGAGAGAGGGATGACTGGGCGTTTACGTCCCAGGCGGTTTCGTAGGCCTTCTTCTGTCATACGACAGTCCAGAGTCCTTGCTTTGTGAACAACAGCTCTCCCTTTGGGGAATTTCATCTCCCGACTCAAACAGTAGTGTTCTTTCAACCCATTCAAGACCTTGCATTTTGCATGTCCTCGTGAATATCAGTCAAGAGTGCGGCGCTTGTTTACGTCTTGAGTCGACGATTTACGCATCTTTTCAGGCTCGTGAAGCAGCTCTTTTCAGAGCGACCCGAATGGCTTCCGCCGCGATGTGTCACTGATAATGCTGACATCCAGGCGACGGCACATAAACACGGTTAATTAAAGGCCATCGCGCGATAGATCCTTCGAGCTCACGACGCATAGTACGGTTGGCCTTATAACCCGCAGCTGGGGAAGATGGAGAGGCCATCGCTTAACCCTGTAAAGCTACCACACTGCTTCATTCTATATGGACTAGTAATTAATGTGCATGGATCATCAGCCATCGCCATGCCGAAGTTTGTTGGTTATTGTGATAGTATAGTGCGTCTCATCATTTTTAAGCAATATGTCTAGGTAGCGTTTTTAAGCCCGGATTATCGAAGATAGGCTACACGGCTAAAAGATGCACCAGCGACCACCAGATAGATAAAATCATTTAGAAATTTTTCTGTCCCGCGGGCGTAATGTCCCCAATAGCCTTGATCTACCATCTTCAATTGCCGCCATAAGATGGCGCTAGTGTCGAGCGCCTCAAGGTAGACTGTACCGCAAGGCAGGAAGGCCTGATAGGCCGTACCACGGATCACATCACATTAGGTGATCACATTAGGTGATCCGTGGCCGGCCGTACCTACCGCAAGACATGGACGAAAAGTCATTCAGCGACATTTCTAACGCATGAGGCGCGGCTCGAGTGTGCATGAATCTTTCGTCATACGCTTAAGTTTTGTGCATTTTGGTAATGTTTATAGCTGTATAAAAAACTATTAAAAATGTTCGTAAGGATTTTCGCCGCTTGTACATCGAAACACGTTCATGCTCCATTCATGAAACTTGCCCCATGCTGGTCGTCGGGATAACATCCAGGGGCAGGGACTAAAGAAGCAGTCGAAGTTGAAGTCGCTCATGTAGACAGGCATTAATAAACCATCTGGAGACTCTCTGGCCTACAGAACTGTCATTTAGCTGTCTGACAGACATTATTTCCAATTGATTGTACTTAAGGATCGGTTCGTTTTTCATGCATCATTAACATGCATTTAAAATCACGAGAACTGAACTTTTACCAATCACATGATAAAAGTTCAAGCATAAATATGGCATTTTTATGGAACATACCGAGCGCAAAGGTCAGACAACATCCTACAATTACAGATTACTTCACAAAAATGCTCGTTTACCCATGGCTGATTTCGCAAGAAAACACGTCCTCGGCTTTTACGGAGAAGTTTCCACCGCCTGGCAAAGTTGGATGCCAGCTGCTGGGAAGTGACCTTCCTGGACGCATTTACATCATCGATTGCATATCTGAAGACCATGGAGGCGGATGCCTGTTGGAGACATCACGCCCTGGCCTCCTGAGTCCTGACACTCCCAAGTCCTGACAGACTTCCGGCTGACCCCACTCCTGACATCCCTTCGGCTGACTGACCCCAATCCTGACACCCCTGGGCTGTGACTGACCCCACTCCTGACACCCCTGAGCTGTGACTGACCGCACCCCTGACACACCCGGCCTCGAGACGACCTATGTATGAGCCATAACAGCGGGTTCCCCGATAGTGACCCTGAAACCCCCACCCCGAGTTCGGTCCGACAGCCGGACTCTGTCAAGGGGAGGGGAGAGAAGGTCATGGGTCACCACCGTCACAGCTCCTGTGACGGCCGTAGCCAGCTGACGATGATATATGAACAGTGCTACCTGCGCCGAGTGTAAAGTCATAGCCATCAGTAATGGAAATGTGTTGATTTGCGGTGCGTCAAGTAAATCAAGTTCAGCCTGCTGGTGGACTTTGAACGGACTGAAGTGCGTCTCTGCTGGCGTTTGAGATGGCTGCCCCAGCCAAAGGTAATGCTAATACCTACACGTGCCTACACATATAACCGGATGAGTCAAAGGTGAACTCATTCCCCAGTCCTCATTGTTATATAAGCTGCGCTGTTTTGTTCCTGTCCTGTGTGTGCTCAGAGCAACAGGCAAGCTTGGCGCCGGTCGCAGCAGAGATGCGCTCGCAGCTGAAATCCGCACGTGCTCGATGCAACCCGTATTGGATCAACGGGAGGTATCTCAATCCAGGGGCTTTGCCCAACTCTCCAGGAAACAGTTCCAGCGCTCAGAGAGCTTGGGAGTGACAAACTTTTCGACAAACGTCCCATTTGTCTTTCGTTGGTTCTCAGTTCCCACTAGCTCGCGATTGAAGACGAAGAGATGGTTGTTTAATTTTGTAAGATCGGTTGCGGTAGTTTTGTGGTGCCACTGATCAGATCATAAGATTTTATATTTTAGCCCACCTTGTATTTTAGCATTAAATTCTAACATTGGAATGACAGGGGTAGGTAGGAAGCATCCTCGCGTTGAGCTTCAGTCGCCGTCCACGTACGCGAAACAATCCGACACACGACCGGACTCTGATAGCTCTTACCCCGCAGGTGCCTGCTGTCTGCTGCTACTGCTGTCAGTGATGACGTCACCAGCGCACGCCGATATTCCGGACGGGCTGGGCCTGCGTCTGCTGGCCCAGCTCACACCCGACCTGTCACAGAACCAGGCGATATCGCCCTTTGTGATCTCCAGTCTTCTAACGCAGATGTGGCTGGCGGCGGCCGGACAAACTCGCAAAGAGGTGAGCGTGGTTCCTGCGGTTGGCAAAATGTGCAAGACTATGTAGTTTGAAGGAGTTCCAGAGACAGCATGATGAGAATTATAAAGGTGTTCCTATACTGTATACAATTACTATCGACCATATTAAAAGATGATTATGTTTCAATGATCCATGGGATTTAAAAGTATATAAGTTAAATCAATTGCATAGTTACAGACGGACTGTGAACTGCATTTAGCACCTGTTGTTTGATCTTACTCTGTAAAATGATTACTGAATGTCAAGTTCTGATGAATCATGAATCGAATCCATGTCACTTTTTTGTTCCATGACCGTGACCATATACGGCATACGAAAGTCACATCGCTGCTTCGTCAAAGGCGCTGCTTGTCCATTTAAAACACCTAAAGCAAGATGCGTTACTTCTGTTTTAGCACTTGCATTCATTGGTAAAGACAAATGAGAAAAGGCCGAGTCTGACAAGCAAATCACTGAATTGTTTATGTTATTGATTTACAGATAGCCAAAGCGCTTGGACTCAAAGGATCTAATAAGACGGCCATCGCCTACAACTTCTTACCGTCCTACCGTGACGCCATAGAGGACTTTTCCTCACAGACCAACGGCGCTGAGACGGGCGTCATGAACCAAATCTACGTCCGGAAGGGCGTGTCGGCCAGCAGCAGCTTCGCTCAGCTGGTCCGCATCATCTACAACTGCACCATCAGACAGTTCGCCTCCAGCTCCCAGGCCGCGGCCGAAATCAACGCCGAGGTCGCCCGGGTGACCTGGGGTCGGATCCAGCAGCTGGTGGACTCCACATCGCTGGAGGGGCTCAGCGTGGCGCTGGTCAGCGCGCTCTACTTCAAGGATCAGTGGCAGTGGGCCTTCAAAAGGCGGCCAGAGTTGAATTTCGTCACCGCCTCTGGCTTGAAGAAGGTGGCGATGATGGAAATGAGGAAAGA